TGTTTTTAAAATAAAGTTCTATAAAATTCAAATTCGATTGTGTGTTAAATAAACAATTTGCATAAAATATACTATACATATGTGAGCAAATATAAACCACGGAAAATGATCTCTAATATAAATCTATAAGATTAAGATTATATATGTACAATAAACGGATGTACAGGAAAACTCATTTATAGAAGTATTCATACAAATATCACAGTTTACTAACTTTGAGAGAAATCATAACAGTTTAAATTCTCCGAATAATTAATTGGTAATATACTTGATATTAATTGTAATATATATGTGAAAACCGATTCAAAGAAATTCTTGGCTTCAAATAAATTTTTTCAATAAAGAGGTGAATACTATCATTTAAGTAATATTGAAGATTGTTATATATTCGATAAATTTACATGAAAAAATTTTTCTCACTAAAATAAAATTTTCATACACAGTTAAAACTTACATTTTTTCTTAAAAAATAAAAAAGTTACTTTCACTAGCATATGCTGATTGAGTCTTACAAAATTTATATTGATATAATACGAATATATCATAACATAAAACTAATGAATAAAAAAAGAAAATAGTTACAAATATTATTAAAAATACTTTAGTTACAAAAGTACTACTTATAGTAAACATATAGAACCTTTTTAAAGATAAATATTCAATAAGAATAAATATTTTTAACATGTAAGCTAATTTAAAATATAAAGTTCTATATGGTATATAAAATTTCATAACATTAAACTTAAAAAAGAAAAATATCTATGAAGAATTAATAACGGGAATTTATTGTTATCTTATAAGGAATAAAGAGGGAACTGCATTTGTTATGTTTCTCTTTAATGACTTTTTTGCACCTTTTTTTACTAAAAAAGAATTTTTATTTACAAAGCAAAATAAATTGCCAGTAACACTAGCACACGCAATGGGAATACCGCTTTCCTATTGCTTGATTTAGTCTACCTGACATTCGATCATACAAAATAGGTAGAGAAATTTTTGTTTTTTGTTTTTTCTCATTAACGAAGCAAAAGTATCTTGAAGAATCAAAAAAACGATCCTTCGAAGATCTATAAGCCTCAGAAACGGCATTAGAGCCGCATAATATCGCCAGGTCTATTTTTTTTCCTTCAATTGAAAGTAATACAAAATCTTTGACAAGAAACAAAACGCAGATCGTTTTATGTGGCAAGATTACGTATATTATAAATATATTTGACGGAAAATAAGCAAGGCGAGTTTTTTCTTCTCTTTTAAAAATTACCAATAAAATCAATCTGCAAGCAACAGTACTTTGTTCACACTTTCTTATTATTTTCCTTTTTCATGGAAACACATTTCTTGTATTTTTATTTTGTTTGGCTATGTAGGATAGTGTGTTAATTCATGATGACGTTGAAGAACAGAAAACTCGAAATCAGTAAAATTTGAATGATATTTTACAAATTAAAAAGAAGATCTTTGTGATAATCTATGATCGATGGATCTTGTTTTATGAAAATTATTTCATTCTACGTATTTCTAATCGTGATGACCGATGAATTATTGCATTCTACGATTACGACATATAATATTTTACTGACCTATAAAATTGTCCTACCCCATGCAGTATTGTTAATATTCGAATAATTATCCATTTGTACTCCATTTTTTCTCCGTCGAAATTTATATTTCAATTCGAGAAAAAAAGATCAATTATTAAACAACACAAGGCAATATTTGTACAAAATTTTTGTTACAAAGGAAAATATATTTCTTTATCGTGATATTAAATATTAACATGGAATATAGATAAATAAAATATCAATAAAGAAAAGAAAATAAACAATTCACAAATCAACAAACTTCCGATGGAGGGAAAAAATACAGTGCAAAGTCCAATTGTATGGTAATTTAGTTATACCATGCCCATTCAAACAATCTTGTCCCATCAGCGTATTTTCATTTTCCATTGAAACAATATAGTATTCAAAATGATGCTCACGATTTCCTATGCAGACAAGATCGCCGTTATTATTACCTTTTCGTTTAAATATAACTATATCTATTGACTGTCTGTGTAAATATGAATGTATATATGTTTCAATATAATTTATTTCCGCTATTTTGTTTTTAATTTTTTTTCTTTTTTTTATAAATCGGTGCTGTTACATTACAGATGTCTAGATACCAGTATCAATTTTAACGTTTCGCATTTATTCTCGTATTATTAATTTGAGCCAATAATTTTACAATATTAATCTTACTGTTCTCCTTTTCTTTGTTTGGCAAATAAAGGATAGTACGATTATTGCACATTGTTAACTGTTTCATAAAAATGTTTCACATATTTTTCATGAATATATCGATATCCGCATCTAGATAAATTCAAATTGTAAATCAAACAGCACAGACAAACCCTGATTACACGATAATATCGAATAATTCCTACCTAAAATCTTTGTGCGTACAACAACAAGTAATATCGTAGTACATATACTTTTTTTTACTTACGAGTTACAAATAGCAGTACTGTTATAGAAATTTCCAAGATCTTCGATCATTTGGTCAAGTTAATGAAAGTCATTTATTCACGTCTAAGAACTTCCTATAATTGCTCGGTTCATATTTTCCATTAATTTTTTCTTTCTTTCTCTTATTTTTTTTTTTTTTCTTGTCATTTCACAACCTATGGAAGGTCGAGTCCTCTTTTCTTTTCGTCCATTTATTTAACTGCTAGTTTCAAATCACTACTTGGTTCGTCGAATGATTCTCTTTTTTTATGTTTGTACAATTCACAACTCGCCTTACAGTAAGATTACCGTCTTATTAGTTTTGTTTTAATAGTTTAGAATATTTGAAACTACGTTGTAACTCATTTCATACAAAGAATGTGTTACTCTCGCTGTATTTCAGGCTGCGTGGGAAACTAACGTTTTCTTGTTGCTTATAAATGTGTGATGCAATTACCAGAAATATTTATTAACCTTTTGAAGTATTGCTGATTTCCACTTTTTTTCTATATCTTTTTCTTTTTTCTACCTTTTTATTCATTTTATTCTGTTTAAATTTGAATCAATATATAAAAATACGCTTAATAGGCATGCTCATATAAAGTATCTTTTAATATCTTCCAAGAAATCTCGTTCGATTCTCTATTCTCAATTTGTCATTTAAAAACTTTATGATATGCCGAGAGATTACTTTCGTCGAAAAGTTTTATTCCTATTTGGGTCATCGTATTGGCTTGATTCATGCTTCAAAAGGTTAATAGAAACGTGCAGGTTACAAATTCAAAACCATGATTACATGCGTAACATTCTAGATTTATGGAATTCGAAATTCTTCGAATTCCCACATACGATTATTTAGTTACGGTATGTGAAATGGCGATTAAAAACCGGTATTAGCAATGTAGTGCCTTTATATGGCAATAGCACAAACCAAAAAACGTATTCAAAATATACTCCGGTCAATCGTAACGTTACGAAAAAATTAGACATAAATTCACACAGAAATTACTCTTGTAGATACAAAAACATAAATTTTAAATAATTCGTTATTTATTAACTTATTTCATTCCTTCTTCTTTGTATTTTTTTATTGTCATAATAATTGCTTATTTGATTATTAAAATGTTAATCGATTAACAGAAACACGAGATTTGGTTCATGCTATTTAGTACGTCAATAGTAACTCTCAAGAACAAGATTTCACAAAAATCATACTATATATTTACATGGTGTTAACATTCGCAACGCCATATAATCCTTTACAGAATGATAATATAGAATTCTTGCAAATGTCGTGTGTTCGTGATCATTTGCGAGTAAATAACGTTTACCCCATATTTTTTATAAAAATCTAATATTTTACGATGTTGAAGCGCATCATTTTAAGCCTTCGACGTGAAAAATAATTTTAAGTGATGAAATTCATACAACCGCGATCATACCATACATTTTTGTGTGGATTCTCTACAAAAAATTCTAACTTTTTCTGCTTTGAAAGCTAAGTAACCACGGTAAGTTAGGAATAAAAATCGGTTAAACAACTATCCAATTCATAAAATTCTCGATCAAGAACGCCGTAGAAAAATATAAATTGGCGGTGTATTTATGGTAATTCGGATTTCATTGATGAACAAAACGATATACCAGGAAGACCCGCCATAGTAATAATTATTTAGCAGTATTATCGATGTAGAATCCAGTACGGTACATAAATATGAAATTTTATGTCTTTCGAAGCACAATTCTTTTTCTTTTCTTTTTGCTTTATCTTTTATTTAAAACAAAAGTGCTCAAACTTCAATTACCCAAATTATACGAATTTTGATCAATTTTTGGTAGATCATATTAATATTTAAAAATCATATCCAAGGTAACAATTTGAAGTCATATTTAAAAAGATGGTAACCGTGAATGTAATAAATTTATTTATATTAATAATAAAGTTTAAAGCACGTGACAGGACAGAATAAAAGGAAGAGAAATGTAAATATTAACAAACAGTAATAGTGATTTTATGAAGTTTGAATACTTCTGATCTAAAATGTGATGTTTTATCAATCAAACGCAAATTTGACAAATTTATATAGATATGAGGTAAAATAAAACATTTATAAATTTACATACTCGCTTTTTTGCCGTCACTTTGCCGGTCAGAAAAAGCGTACTACATACTGGGTTCAATACCGATTGTTATGTAAAAAGAAGCTCACCAATGTCCAGCAGGTGATCGTAAATATTTCTTAGAAACGCTTGAGTAACAAAGTCGCAATAACGCGTTCTTAAATGACTTAGAAACAAACGTTTCAAAACGACGAATATAAAGTATTTATATAAAATCAACTTCCACTTATTCGAATCTCAAATACTTCACAGCGACGATCGCTCTGTTTGAGCAACTTCTTCGTCATATTTTTCACACTTGAAAACTCAATGTTCCACCAAAGACACCTAAGACTTCACTGAAGACATTTACACTTTTTAGTTTCACTAGTGGCAAATTCAAGAAATATATAATGTTCGAAGATTATATTTGCATCACAGTGATTTCTTTCTCGCTTTACTTACTTTAAAAAATAAGAAATACAAGTATAAAAAAAATACCATTGGCAGTCACTCATTCTGCTCTTTTATATTGAATTGAATTATGAATACTTATAACTGCGTCAAAATTATGTTCAATTCAATAGTCAATATAGTATTCAACTCTTTTAAAGACATCTTTTTTATATTTGAATTTTCTATCATGAGCTCCTCTCATTATAATGTATGTTAGTACTGTAATTGAGAAGATAAATTAAAGACATTAATTCTGGTATATTCTTGTTATCATGTATGTATTACCTAAGCAGTAGAGATTTATTTAATGTCTCAATAAACGGTAAAAAATGACAAATTGACGTAAATTATATTCATAAATATAAAACAAGAAAGAATTCTTTATTCCAACAAAAACTCAAACTGATGCATCTTTATGTGATCACTGTGACATGTATTATTTGATATTAGCACAAGGAACTAGGATTTAATCGTTAATCCTTTTATACTGTCACTATAATGTTTTGCATATTAAAATGGAATATTTATGCAAATTACTATCATTATAAAATGGAGTCATGTGAACATACAATTTAAGAATTATTTTTCCAACCTTTGGTAGATCACTATGCAAAATCACAAGAAATCCATGAATTACTTTTGTATATGCTTTCAACGATTAGGCTCTGTCACTTCATTAAACAAAGGTGTCAGTGAATCAACATCTTGTAATCCATCAAAATTACCAAGTGGGTCCAAATCATTTGTTTCTGTATCAGCTTCTCCAAGGAAATTGGCTTCAAGCAAATCCACAACATTCCTACATAAACTGCTAGAAGTAGACTCGTTAACAGTTTCATTGTGCAAGTTTAAAGAATTCAGAGTAGGACTTGAGAGCATCGGTTCGTTAGTATCCTGATACGTTTCTTGCGATTGAATTGTATGTAGTGGTGTCGAAGGATATGATCTAGATCCATTACTATCTTCTGTGTAAGATGGCGTATATGTTGATACTGGCACAGGTAATGGTGTATTAGGATAGGAGCGTGACTGTATTATTTTCTGTAATGCTCCACCTACTGGAATATCAAGTACATTTGATGGATCCAACATATCCTCTTCTGACAAGTTTAAATTTGAATTTGGTAAAGCATCCAACACTATTGAATTGTTTTCTATCAAGCCTTCTTCTGCAGGTTGTTCCGGTAAAATTTGCAAGCTTTGAGTTCCTTCTTCATCCAAAATGTTTAATATATTCGTTATGTTTTCAGGTGTAATTTCTTTGTCACCCATTAAGAAATTTTGGTCATCTGATATAAAATTTGGATCAACGTCATCAAGTAAATATGTTGAAGGTCCTTCTGGTTGACCCATTGATCCAAAATCATTGAACTCACTAGGTACTGGCGTAGGCGCTATGGAACTGCTTGTAGATGGATTAAAACTCTGGCTTTGAAAGGATGATAAGCAATGTTGCGTTGAAATAGGTGACATCAATGCAGGATTAACCATTCTATGTAATGGAACTGATTGCGACCTATAAAGTTCACTGGTAAATTGTTTATTGTTATGAAACAATTCGCTAATTTCCTGATCAGGTTGACTTTTTTGATAAACGTTTTTAATTTCTTGTAAATTTTCCTGACTTGGATAATTAATGAGTAATTGTTTTTGCGGTGCTAAATCAGAAGATAAAAATGCAGCACACTGTGATCCTTGTCCTTCTCTTTTTGGTGTAACTGAAATTTGCGTTGTATTACTATCCACCTGCACTTCCGACGACTTGGTAGAAATCAACGGTAACTGTGGTGTAGATGACGCTTGTCTAACTAATTCCGGACCACTTGTGGGAACAACAAAAGTATCATTCTTGCTAGTATAAGGCATACTGCAAGATATTGAACGCGATAAGGATTTGTGAGTACGAGCTCTGGAACTACTTGCTTGTAAATTGCTTCTCGACCGTGGCACAGGTGTATTTCGTGGTGAAACGAATGGGCTAGCGTTTGCAGAATTAGATTTGGAAGCGCGACCATTAATAGGTGAATGTGGGCCAGGCGATATTGGCGTAAAATTAAATATTCGACGTCGTGTATTTGGGCTCTGTGGAACTGTATTAGTAATAACATTCGAGTCTTGAACATGTTCTACAACATTCGTTTCAAAACTGACTCTGCGTCTGGTATTATTTTGGTTCGAATGGTTTAGTAAAGTTGGTAATATCAAATTGTGCTTTTGAGTGATTTCACGTTTTTCAACATTTTGCCTAATGATAGCAGCAGGTAATACATCAACAGGTGCATGTACAGTCCCTCCTTTCAAATTCTGTTGTAATATTAATCTTAGCTGTGAAACTTTATCAGATCTTGATATTTGTTCATCAATAGCAATGGTATTTGCTTCCACATCTGAACTTGATGAATTGCTTTGTTGAAAATACTGTAATAATTCCTCCTCTTGTTCTTGAGAGTTGTTACCTCCATTCAAATAATCATCTAAAGCATCCGAATCAATAGAGCCAAGTTTCTCAGTTTTACCTGCAAGATTTGAATTCTCTTGCAATAATAGAATCTGGTCTTTAGTTAAAACTGTAGATTCCTCTATTGCATTTGAACTAGACTCAAAAGTGTTGGGACAACCATTTACTTTAATGCAACTTTTGGAACATGTTGATGATTCATTATCACAGTTTTTGGTAGGCTGATTGTTAACAGCCTCGTTTGTTTTGCACTTGGTAGGCTTCAGATTACTAGCTAGTATCACCGAAATTTTCCCGGGACGTTGTATAGATGTAAGCTTAGGCAACAACACATTGGAATGCTCTACATTCTCTTGTATTTGCTGTTCTGTAAGTTTTGTCTGCTTCTCAGGACTTGTCTCTGATGGTTGATTCAATACAATTGGATTGGCACGCTTTCTGGAATTTTTGGGTTTGATATCTCGCTGTGTATTTACGCAGTTGGTCATTACTACACTAGGGTTGCTATTATTCTGTATGTCTTCAATCGATTGTACCACTATATTATCACAGTTGGATTCCAGGGAGATGTTACATGGCTGACTACTAGTAGCTTTAAAAACTTTCTTCTGCCGATTGGTTACTACAGCAGATGAACTCAATTTCGTTAATGCATTCTGCTGCCCACTCGATACATTTGTACCTTGAGATGACTGATTGGATTTAGTTTTCTTATTTCCCTTATTTGCCCCCGTTTTATTATCGACAGTCTTCTCTTTGTTCTGGTTCTGAAACATTTAAGAAACATTACATTTACTGTTAGTTACCTACATCTTGTTACTTACTAAGAAAATATTTTATACCTGTATAACAGTATCAAGATGACGGTGTTTTTGATCCCTTATATGTTCTCGCTGTTGTAGCTTTCGTTGCAACTGTAATTGTGCTTCTCTAAGCTTCCCAGATTTTCCACTAATAGGTGTTGCACGTATATCTGTATTTGTCTCTGAATATATAAAATAACTTATAATATACAATCAGAAAGAATGCTTCTGAAATATATGACAATCATCAAACCTTTATTTGTCGATGTATTCGAATTTCCTGAAGCACATAATATGCACACAGCAGATAGAGATCGAGTATCAACACACAGATTATCAACAAGATGACGTGCTAAGGCACTCAAAGTTGGAAATTTCAAACCAAGGAGGCTTTCTGCCCATTCTCTGATCAATGTAGATGCAGCTCCCAACATTTCTTCAGTAATATTTTCATCTACTTCATCACCCTAAAAAATTTAAAATTTAATTATAATACAAAATATAGTGTGTGTTTCGTAAAATATAGAGAAAATATACATTATATACAGTTTTTAAAACAATTTTGTGTCTTACAGTCTGAGTGCCAGATATATTAGGCAATGTTGGAGGATCCAATTTAACTCTCTTGCGCATTCCAGCATAACAGTAACGTGAATTGCCTCGTGTGCCTAGTCTACGTGGTCGAACTCTTGGATATACTTGTTTCATAACTTTACCGAAATCAGCAGTTGATAAGGGTTTCATAGAATTTCGCATACAATACATACTGTAAATACATTGAAAACAGAAATGTAAAATAACAAATAACAATAAGATACTCAAAGTTTAATTAATTAATAAAAAACTTTTAGGACAACTTTTAAAACATGCCATATTTAAACTACTTACTTATATTCATCATAAACTTCTTGTTTTGGTAAAGAAACATCTGGATCTTCTTCTAAATGTGTTTTAATCCACATGATAGTTTGATGAATTTCATAACGATTTCCTAATGGATTTAATGGTTGTCTCAAAGGATCAACAGTTCCTCCAGTATTAGTCAATGATAGTGGAAGTTTCAGGTACAACAATAATTTTTCTTCTATTTTCAGTTGTTCAATTTGTGAGAAGATTTCTTGAATACGTGTTTTTGATTCTTCACTGTATATAAAAATCAATAAAGTTGATATAAAATTATATATAATTATATATATATTAATTATTTATATATAAAATTATATATAAAACACACTGTATATAAAATTTATCGAATGTACATTGTTTAAAATAATACTTGAATGAAAACATATTTAAAACCGTGGTAATATAAAAGCAAAATTTACATATTTATTCTCCATATATGTGTTTATAATTTACATGTAGTTCTGTTTTAAATACTTATACATAGAATATAATTTCATATTCTATAAAAGAATTATAGCATATAATCAATAATGTTTTTATGCGCATATGAAATATGTAATTTTTCTGTAAGTATTAACATAATATGGTAAAATAAATTTAGTAAAGTATAGCTTAAAATAGAATTTGTTTAGTTAGCTTGTAAATTTAAATAAAGAATTATTTTATTTCTATTTCCTCCGAAAATTATATAAATACATCTTTCCTTTTTTATTATTAGCGAATTACATATATATTTGTCTTATTATAGAATCTTCAATTTCATTTACATATGAGAGCATAAATTTAAATTAAGTTGAAAATATATTTCAGACACACAATTAATATTAAGTTGTTTCAATACTTTCTCAAAAATGTATCGGCTTATGAGTATTTTAGATTATAGATTTCAAACAGAATAACAATGTTTCTCCTTTATTCCTAATTGCTTGATTTATATAAAGATTATTACTATAAATGGTACTTTTATTTCAAAAGTAAAGCAAAGACATTAAATACTTATCCTAATTTATTTTGCAGTACTCATTATTCCATAAAGATAAAAATATATATATTTATACAAAATTTTTATTCAAGTACCTTCTCTTCATCTGAAATAGAAATATGTAACAGTGTGATTCTACTTAAACATATACCTCTTATTTAAAACTTTAGGCAATAGTTGAAACTCTGCTTTTATTAATAAATTCAGTTGAAACATCTTTGTGCTTATTATACATTGCATTAAAAAAAGATGTTTGAAATAACTTTAATATTACAGTAATTATTATTATAAATAAAGAGAAATAAAAGAAACATTGTTTTTATTTAGCATAAACATTGAAGAAAGTATGTGTTAACAAAATGTATTAAGTAACCTCAATTTCACAATTGCAAACTAAATAAATCATTAAAGAAGAATAAAGAGAAATATAAAAAGAAGCATATAAACAATTAAATTTTTTAATGCAAAATTTCTTTTGGACATTATCACCTAATTTTCTTCAACTTATAATAGAAACATTCAAATAATTGAACAAATCGCAATTTTGGCCAAAAATTCTACAAATTCATTAATGTAAAAGGAAAAAAACATGATACATTGAGAATAAAAAGAAAGAAAAGCCTAGAGGCAGGAGAAGAGAAAATGAGAGAAAAGAACGGGAAGGAGCGAGAACGAGTAAGCAAGCAAGGGAGGGAGAGAAAGAAAGAAAAAGAGAGACAGAGAGAGTGAGTGAATGAGTGAGAGATAGATAGATAGATAGAGAGAGAGAGAGAGAGAGAGAACAATTGAATTAACCTGATGCTATCTTCGATCATGAGCCGAATTTTGTCGTACTTGGTGGTTGTGCCATGATTTGCCAGAGCCGTGAACTTGGCCGCGATGATATCCTGAAGTAGGTCGTCGTCGTGGAAGCCGTTTGAAAATCTGCCGGCAGCCGGTCGCTGACTCGACTGTAGTTGCTTGTTAGTATCATTAATGCCGGCGTTGATGCTACCGTCACCATTCTCAAGGGAAACGTCAGTTCGTTCCTTCTTAATTCGCCTGCCGTCGAACGCGCTTTCGTCGGCATTAAGCTCGATTCTTGCGGGTGGTTTGCTGACGCAGGGCTTCGTTTGATCATGGTTATCAGTACTCATCGTACCCCGTCAGAGCGGAGGCGCTTCGATTATGTGTGGAAAAATTGATCACCTCCCGTAGGACGACGCGAGTACCCTACCATTTTGTCAGAGTCAGCTGGACTACTTGTTAGCATTGCACTCCCGGTGATTATACATGAGCGCCATTCGAGACCCTCCACTCGCGCGGACCCGACAAGTCGCCGAAGCGCATACAATATGAGAATAACCACCGATCCGTCATACCGATCTCACGAGCAACATTTTATCCATGCCTTTTGGCATAGTTCATTTTGGCGGAATGCTCTTATGCGCAACCCATGACCAACTTTAATATCAGGATTAGTGGACGGTCTACCAGGCACGGAAATCCGAGCACTTTGCGCGTTCTTCAATCGTCATAGATCTTGCGCTTTGTCTTGTGAGTATGTCGCTTCATGTCGCTTTCTCCTACGTGTTAAGTCGTATTCTCATCGAACTTGCGCTTCCCTTAAAAAGATCACCAACTATTGGTAAATAGTTCTCGAAGTTCCATTGAATTTATATATTTTTATCGTATATCTGTATAAATATTGTACGTATTTTATTGTTAATGAGCTCATACAATTTTCAACTTCATAGATTCAACGGCAAAATGTCATTATATTTTTTCTCAACGATCGTTCGTTGCAATTCTACCTACTTTATTTCTTTAATATCAGGTTTCTTATTGGATGTTTATAATTGAATACGCTTAATTATTGGTTGATACGCTATGGTTTTGGAAATACTAGACACAATAATATGATTGGCTAGCGTTAATACTTTGTAATTAAGATAGGCACGCACCTTTTTTAGTACAAATTTAAACGTAAAATTTAAAATATACCCGAATGAAATAAAAGTTTAAGTATATGAAATAAGTAATTTTATATTCATGAAAAACAAGTTTTTTTCAAAGATAGTAATAGTTATAAGTTTATATCTTAACAATTTTATGTTGGTAGTAATTCTTAATAAATAGATTTTGCCTGCCTAGTTATTTGTACATAATCAAGGCATCAAAAGAAATAGAAGAAAAATCCTACCATCGTAACTAATGCCGAGAATGAATATGTAAAAGTTATATGTACGTTATAAGAGCTAATAGGTAAGATTATCGTAATATAAAATTATTTAGTTGATTTTTTACTTTAGACTGTTACATATCTAATATTATATATAACTATTGCCTTGTAATTACAATTATATACTATCACGATTTGTAATCTATTATCAGTTACAAAATGAATTTTGTCTTCTGTAAATTTTCGATGTAATCATTATTAATTAATATCATTATATAACTACCATTTAATTAAATAATCTACTATAAATACTAATTATTGGTGATTATTACATTAACATTCATCGTATTAAAAAATCACGTGTTATGAATTATTTTCAAATTTAGAAATTAAAAAATTTGTAAATATTGTTTTAAAAAAGATATAACATTATCTACACACCGAATATCTAATTTTGGTGAGTGATATTGTATAAAATGATATTTTTTTTTTAAGATCTTTCACTATATGTTATTCAAATGGCATACGGTAATAGTGATTAACCTTTTACAGATTGAAGTGCTACAGAATCATGTTGAAGATGTTGAGTTTGCCACAAAATTCTTATTTACGTCAATTTGGATTGAAACACTATTTGAAATATCGCAATTTCCATTCAAAAAGAAATGTAGCATTTAGTGCTACAAAATACGATAGAAATGTAACAGAAAGTGATGTTAATAAATTTAAAAATGGACAAATTATTCATGGTTTTATAGTAGATGAAATTGCAAAAATAGATGAAGTATATCTAACTGCAGTGAGATTAACTCATTTGGGAACAGGGGCACAGTATTTACATTTAGCCAGAGATGACAGTAATAATGTATTTTCAGTTGGATTTCGTACAACTCCAAAAGATTCTACGGGTTTACCTCATATCCTAGAACATACTACACTCTGTGGTAGTGAAAGATATCCATGTAGAGACCCATTTTTTAAAATGTTACGGAGATCGTTGGCTACATTTATGAATGCTATGACAGGACCTGATTATACCATATATCCATTTTCTACACAAAATTTGAAAGATTATCGAAATTTACAGTCAGTGTATTTGGATTCTGTATTTAAACCAAATTTAAGAGAACTTGATTTTAAACAGGAAGGATGGAGATTAGAACATGCAGATGTTAATGACAAAAATTCCCCTATTATTTTTAAAGGCGTAGTTTTTAATGAGATGAAAGGTGTCTTCAATGAAAATCAAACAATATTAGCTGAAAAATTACTAAATCTTATTTTACCTAATCATACGTATTCAGTAATTTCTGGTGGAGATCCTCTTGTTATTCCTACTTTAAGATATGTTGATTTACTCAATTTCCATCAAATTTATTATCATCCTTCTAACTCTCGATTCTATTCCTATGGCAATTTTCCTTTAGAAGATCATTTAAAATTTATCAATGATCGATACCTCTTTCTAATGGATAAGATAGATACATCTATGTCCAAAGTTCCTTCAGAAAAACGGTGGAACAATCCAAAGAAAGAACATATTACATGTAGGCCAGATCCAATGGCACCAGATCCTAGTCGACAAGGTAGCATAGCTATTGGGTATTTGTGCAATGATATCACTGATATACAAAAGAATTTTGAAATAAACATTTTATCTCAACTATTATTAAGAGGTCCAAATTCAGCATTTTTTAAGGCCTTAGTAGAATCAAAACTGGGAACTGCTTTTGGCCCAATGACAGGTTTTGATTCCCAATGTAAAGATACCATGTTTGTTGTCAGTTTGCTTGGTGTTAAACCAGAAGATTTTGAAAAAGTAGATAAGATTTTTAATGAAACTGTACAGAAAGTTGTTGAAGAAGGTTTTATGGAAGATCATGTTGAGGCTGTCCTACATAGTATTGAGCTTCAACTAAAACATCAAACTTCCAATTTTGGATTGCAATTACTTTTTAGCTTAACACCATTATGGAATCACAATGGCGATCTTATACAATCAATGAGAATCAATAAAGCAATTAGGAAATTTAGAGAAGGAATAAAGAACAATCCTAAATATCTTCAAGAATTAGTGAAAGCATATCTAATGGATAATAATCATAGATTGACATTAACAATGCTGCCATATGAGAAATATGATCATGAAAAAGGAGCTGCTGAACATGAATTGTTAGAATCTAAATTAAAACAACTTTCCAAAGAAGAATTAGATCAAATTTATATAGATGGAAAAATTCTTCTTGAAGAACAACAGAAAGAACAAGATGTAAATGTCCTTCCTACTTTAGAAATAAAAGATATAAAAGAAGATGTAGAACGATATAAATTGGAGGATATGAAGGTAGTCGGTGTTCCTTTACAAGTTGCTACTGAACCAACAAATGGTGTTTGCTATTATCGAGGAATTCTTGGTACACAAGATTTAGCACAGGAATTAAAACCATTGTTGCCACTTTTCAATAATATTATTTCAAAAATGGGTACAAAAAATTATGATTATAGAAATTTTGATCAAATGATACGATTGAAGACTGGAGGTTTAAATTTTATGAATCACATTGTAGAACATAAAAATAGCTTATTGCAATATGAAGAAGGAGTATTAATAGAATCTTATTGTCTAGATCGTAATGTAAATGATATGTGGAAATTATGGTTAGAATTGTTCAATAATGTCCAATTATCTGATATTGAGAGATTTACAACATTAGTTAAAATTAATGCTGCAGATTTGATTAACGGTATTGCGGATTTAGGGCATACTTATGCAATGAGTAGTGCAGCCAGTTTGGTCTCACCAGTCACTAAATTCAAGGAAACTCTATCAGGATTGCAATATGTCTCAAACATGAAAAAAATAACACAAATGTCAGATTTAAACCCTGTTTTAAGTCAAATGCAAGAAATATCTGATTATATTTTAAATAAACAACATCTGAGATCAGCAATAAATTTATGTACAAGTAACAAAGACATGATATTAGAAAGTATCAGTGAATTTTATAGTTCATTGAAAGGTACACCACAAAACACATATACTTTTACACATGGCCAAAATATTGAAATGGAAGATAGCGCTATCCATTATGTATTACCATATGCTGTAAATTATACAGCTAAAGCAATTCTTACTGTACCATATACAAATCCTGACTTCGCATCATTACGAGTACTTTCTAAATTGATCACATCACTTTACTTACATCCAGAAATTCGTGAAAAAGGTGGAGCTTATGGAGGTGGTGCTATAATGTTATCAGATGGAATATTCGCATTTTATTCTTATAGAGATCCTAATTCTACTCGTACTTTAGACTTATTTGACAAAACTTATGAATTCTTATTGAAGTATCCATTATCCCAAAGTGATATTGATGAAGCAAAATTAGGAATATTTCAACATCTTGATGCGCCAGTTTCCCCAAGTAATCGTGGAATGATTAAATTTAGATACAACATAACGGATGATGATATTCAAGAACAAAGAAAAAGATTGAAAGCTGTAACTAAAGACCAACTTATGCACGTTGTTACTAAATATTTACAACCTGATCAGAAACATATTAGAGTAGGACGTGCATTGATTGGACCAGTTAATCACGATTTATTAAATAGGCATTCAGAAAATTGGAAGGTTCAAAATCAAGAAGAAGAAATTCGAGCAAGAGCAGTCGAATGAATATTTTGTGTTAAAATAAATATTATCTATTAATTATGTCAATCTACTAATTATATTAATTATGAATATTATTATCATATGTAAGCTATTTATTAAAATGAGCATCATTTATTCATTTTCATGCACATACACTTATATAGAACAATTTATGTAGTTACCATGAAATGTATTGCAATTCGTTGTAAAATGTTTATATAATAAATATTATAAAAATTGCTATAATATATATGTATGCATGTATATACAATATAGATACAATTATAAAATATAATTGTAGTTACAGGGTAATAGTAAAGCTTAAAATATATATAAATTTATATATATATATT